GATTTTTTAAAAATAGGTTTACCAAAACACAGATGTTTGCAAAAATAGCATTTTAATTTTATTTTCAACTCTTAGTTACAAATAATTATCATCGTATTTTAGTGGACGACATTGACGTTAGCGTGTTGAGAAAGTGACTGTAAAGTAGTAAAGTATTTGTTAGAAAAGAGTGCTAATGACAGCTTCAACGAATGTAGCGAGGTAAGATGACAGTTGGAATCTAAAATGATACAAAAAGTGAATGCTCCTGTCTAGACAAATTGAAATATATGTGTTATAAAAAATTCAGTTTGTCGGTTTACCATTATTCTAGATTTCTGACACATTCTTGGAAAACAACTTTAAAAATTTCTTGATAAAAATTTTTGTTAAACGCGCCGAAGTTGAAAAATATGAAATTTCAGATATGAGCAGTCTAAAGAAGTTTTGCTAAGTGAGGGATTTCGCTTGTACATGTGTTAAGCTAAAATTTTTGCGATTATTTTCGGTTTTATCTGTCTTGGTAAAACTGACTTTGTTCTTACTTGGCTTTTTTATTTCCCGCATACTACCTAACCGTAGATGAGATGTGCTAGAAGATTTCGGGCTTAAAAATGGCTTCTACTCCGCAGAAGTTCCTCACACTTCTTTTTACAACTTTTTTTTGTTATTTCTTTTTGTTGAGGAAAAATTTTGTAAGTAACTCTAGCATAATTTTTCTTTTGGCCACTAAACCTAGGTACCCTTTTTCTCTATATATGTCTTAACATTTAAAAGAAAAAACTATCAGTTTTGCAGTCAAACAAATAATACACTTACAAATAACTGAACTATACTTTTTGTGAAACCAGATTCTAGAAAATACAAATATTCCAGCAACTGATAATAAAGATAGCAAAAGGAATTCAGTAACGTTGCTGTAGCGCAGAGAAATCTGAACGGCGAGGAAAAATTAAACAGTATAAGAGTGACAAATTTGACATAATATTCAGGCCTTTCTTTAGAGATGAAAGAGAAGGGAAAAGGGCAAGAACTCTGTTTCCTTTTTCCTCTATGCTTATGAAGCTTTTTGTTCGGTGATAAGTGATTGCACACGCTCACTCTCCATTGTGTATTATTAATACCTTTACGCAAAAGCTGCTGGATTTTGACCTCATAACATCTTTTTCTGCAATGTTTCAGGAATTTCTTTCTGTTTCGTGCAGGTAAGTCATAGGCTAATTCTATATTAATAAAACATTTTTGGCAGCTCCTCTTCTAAAAATATTTTCTTTTAATTGATTTAACTGTCTTGTTTGGCATGTGAAAATCTCTAACTAAAAAAGCTTTCTTTAAACATCAACGTGTTTTACTGAGCAAAAATTCCGCAAAAATTAGAGACTGTTCTTTTTAATCAAACTCTTTTGAAATTCTTCCAATTCTGCCGGCAAAAAATACTTTCCTACAAGTTAAATCAAGCGTACTTTTTGAGCACGTAACAAGTAACTCTTGGTTTCACTTTAGATTTCACCGTTTTGGATCGCATCTCAAAATGGCCACCTCGACATAGTGAAACATCTGGTCAACATGGGAAGCGAAATTAATATTACAGACAGATACGAGGTAAGCACATAATTTTACTGATTACAAAGTCAAGTAGAAGAAACTTCTTTTTTACATGATAACGATAACAGATACAAAGAAACCACAAAGTAATTTAACAGCTCTTTGTAAGCCCGCTAAAAATAGTATTTTTGAAGAGAAAGTTAAGTTGACTCATTGTACGTTTTTTTAAAAACGTTGTCAGCAAAACCTGATTATTAAAAATGGTAAATTTCAATGCTTCTGTACAATACTTGTTCGTGATTTTGAATCGAAAAGTGAAAGTTGACAATGAGGTCTGAAATGCAAAAGAAAGTATACTATAAATTTAACTACATTATATTATAATGAATAGTAGCATAAAAATAAGAGTACTCAGAAGTTGCCCGAACAACCAAAGATCATAAAGGTGAAACAATGTTTAACTGCGGCAGATTTAGAAGTAGAGTGCGAAGGAAAGGTCAATCTAATTCGTCGTCAGAGTTACCGACTCAAGACGAAATAATAAGCTGAATTTCCATAAAATTTTAAGATTTCTAATTATACCGGTACAACCGATGCGTTATAATCAGTCCAGTTCTTTTAACATTTCACTATCAAATTTCTCGACTAGTTTTCTTATAAGGTGACAGTCACTGGAAGAAATAATTTTAGAAGCCTTTGATAGTTAAATCCTCTAGTTTACTCTTTATTTCAGTCACTTGGTTATAAATGTCACTACACTTTGTGCAGTCAAGTTTTTCTTATTTTAGTGGACTCCTTTGACGATTGCGAACTCTAAAGGTCATTTGAGTGCTGTAAAGTATTTGTTAGAACAAGGAGCTTTTGTCGATTATGAGGGCGACAGCGAGGTAACTTCAGATTGACTTGCGTTTAAAAAGCATTTTGCTTTGTTACTTGTCGGTATCCGACTCTCAATTTTAAACATTCTAGGTTTTTTCGCGGCAAAATGTTTGACATCTTTTCTCTTCTATGGAATATCACAGCAGTTAGATTTTTGATTCTCATTTGGAATTTTGATTCTTATTTGCTCTTTGAAGGCAAAACTATTGTATATTGCTTCGGAAGGTGGTAACGTTGACACCGTAAAATACTCTATCAAAAATGGAACTCACATTGACACAAGAACAGGAAACGTGGTAAGGCTTTATCATGAGAATAATATTCATACTTTTAGGTCAAAAATATTTCATTTTTTGTGTTACTTCAATTAATCTTAGAAATAGATGCAAGTAATGAAGACTTTTAGTGTATTATGCGAGAAAAACTTTATTAACTTTAAATGGGTTGAATAATTGTATAGTTTTTTGCATTGCATTCTTTTAGTAAAAATACAATGATTAATAAAGTCATTTGCGTTACAGTTTAAAAGTGGCAAAGCCTGTAGTAAAACCTGCAGAGCATTACAGCTATTAGCATAAAATTTTTCAATTTTTTATCTATGAAGAAAAAGAAAACAGAAATGTTTTTACAGCACAACAAAAATAAAGTATTTTGCGACACAAAAAATGTGAGAAAAAAATTGTTTTAAAAAGAGAAAACTGAGGAGAGTAATCAAAAGAAATGAGCAGTATAGTAAAAAAATAATAAAAATCTAGAAGACATAAATTACAAAAAAGAACAGTTGAGTTTGGACAAACAAAAGTTTGAATAAGTTTAGGATAAGTATATAAATTTTAAATCTTTCTTTCTAGTGGACACCGTTAATCGTCGCATCTTATAATGGCCATTCTGATGTTGTCGAGTATCTGATTGATAACGGGGCAGACGTTAATGTAAAAAGCAGAGATGAGGTGCATTTTTTTGAGTCAACTAAACTATGTAATAATAAAAATTTGTTTCTTACTTATTCTCGTTTCAACTGCAGGTCAGTTTGCCGTAGTTTTTTTAAAAAGAACAGATAAGCTGCGAAAATTCACTATTATTACTTTTAAACTTCAGTATTTAAATATAGCATATCGTGAAACTAGACAAAGAGTGTGCTGCTTTTCCTGCTGCAAGTTTTTGCCTTTATTTTAGGTAACACCATTAACAATAGCCTCTCGGAATGGACATTCAGAAGTTGTAAAAACTCTGATAAAAGGTGGTGTTGAAATCAATGCAAAAAGTAAAGACGAAGTAAGTACCAAAAGCAAAATAACGACATTTTAAGCAAAAAGTTCTCAAAAATATACTTTTTTTAAGAGAACAAAGTCTATTGATTATCAGAAATAAGATCAGAGAGCCACTTATAAAGTTACGGAGAAACTTACAGTTACGTAAAGCTGCTCGCTCGACAAGGTCGCATAAATCTACCTATACAAAAATATAAATTTTACGCAAAATTGTTTAGTTTTTAACCTTTATTTAAGACTCATAATACTCTTGAGTAACATTTAAAAATCTGTTTAAAATTATAATTTTAAATGGAAACATACGATATATTGCAGAAGATCTAAAACAAACTAAACTGCTTTTAGACCTGCCACACTAAATTAAACATTATACAGCACTTCTAAGCTCCCTCAGAAAAAATTTGCTTTAGAAGACTGCACTACACGTTGCTTCGGCTAATGGAAGACTTGACATCGTAAGACTTCTGGTACTAAATGGGGTAAATGTTCTTGCAAAAGACGAACAAGGGGTAAGTATGATTGAAAAATTTACAACATTTAATGATGCAATTGACGCAAGGAACACACCTAGCTTACAGAAAGTCGCCTGAAAAAGTTTGATAAAAGTTAATTGAAGATTTTTAGATTACAAATAAAAATTATGCAACAACATTTACATCATTAAGACAAAGCTTTGGAGATAGCCGACCGTTTCTGAGATTACTCTTTTGCCAATTTTGCCAGCTGTCGCGATTTTCAAGCTATAAGGCAAAATTGAAAAAACTACATGATACAGTAAGTAAGTCGTCACATCACTTATAAAACGTAGGCTAAAATAATAATAAAAAGGTAATTAAGCTTTCAGTTAAAGAAAGATTGCCAACAAGAGCTGTGAAATATCAGAGAGAACAGTCGAATAGAAAGTAGAAAAGGTAAGCTTTTAGACCAAAATACAGATAGACATTTTTTTAAGGTCAGTTGCATAAAGAAAAAATTTTTTCAAACTTTAAAACTAGGACGGGGGAACTAGAAAAAGAATTATAATAGGAAAAGAACGCAAATTTTTTACTGTAAGGTTACTGTAGTAACTGAAAATGAAGCTCTGAAGGTAGTCGATCATATAGTTCTGAGGCAGTTTCAATTAAAGATTCAGTAGCGAGCTTCGATCAATTTTTTTTGAAGATAATTAAGTTGCACTAGTTCTTGCTCATCATGGCTGGTATTTGATTGTGAGTTTTGCCAAACTGCGCCATCTGACCTCTTTTCTCACCAAACTTTCGTGGTCAGTCCACTATTTTACATGATATGACAATCTTCTTTTAGGCCAAATCAAGTTGTTAGTCAAAAATTCCTAAGACTGTTCTAATGATGAGCATTCCTGCACTTGGGCGATACACTTTTGAAAAACAGTAATTCGAGAGTTCTAAGACTATTTTCAGAACACACCACTTAATATTGCATCACAGAATGGCTATCTTGAAACTGCAAACGTTTTGTTGGAATACTGTGCGAACGTCAATTTAAGGACGAATTGGAAAGTAGGGTTTTTTATAGACATAGATATCTATAAAACTGTTCTTCTTTTTTATTTTCTGCTTTTTTTTGATATAACAGCTTCACATTTTTGAGAAAGCAGTAACATAGATAAATTCAAGTTTTCTATGCTTTTTGTCCTCTTTTTTAAGGTTAGAATTGCAAGCGTTTTTTATACGTCCTTTTTTAATTAACTGGCAGAATCAGTCTTAGCTGTTTTTCTGTACGATTGTTTAGAGCTTCCTCAAACATCCATTTTTGTTTGATTATGAACCAGGACTTTTGCGTTCTGAGTTAGTTGGTTCTTTTTGGCAAAAATGACACTTTTTCTTTTAAGGTAAAAACCAAGTTCTCTCTTTTTTTGGGGGGGAGGGGGGGTGCTCGTCAAGTATGTCCCATACTTTCTGATTTTTTGTCTGATTTTTGTCTAATTTTTTCAATAAGAATTTTGCTTGCATTTTTTCTTATGTTTTTTTTTAGAGAAGCTTGTTAAAAGCGATATTTTTTCACGTTTCTTTTTGATCATCAAATTGCTTAATTCTCAAACTTTTCTTAGGAGACCTCTTTACATATTGCAGTGAAAAAACGGATATGTTGAAATTGTAAGCAGTTGGATTGAAGCAGGAGCTGAAGTGGACGCAAGAATTATAAAAAAATGTAAGGGTACATTAAAGCACTGTGGCTAGAGTAGAAATATTTTTTTCCAGCTTAAGTGCCAGATCTTTTGAACAAAAACTAGAAGTTTCTCAATTTAATGCTTTTCATTTTTCCTCTTACAGACTTTCTTCTTTTTATTATAAAACCACTGATTTTTTTAAGTGGAAAGCACTACATATGGCATCGTACAGAGGTTACGTTGAGATTATGAACATTTTGCTTCAAAATGGAGCAGATATTGATGCGCCTGGCTTGAACCAGGTAAGACTTTGTTGAAAAAGTTTTGCGTATTCAAGGCAGCTCTTACGCGAGTTTTTGTTTTTTTGGCTTACATGACCGTGTAATTTTATTAAACGAGTGGAAATTGATAAACCACTTATATTTTCATATTGATCAGCAACATTGTCTTCACCTAACATTCGAATTAACAGATACTGTTCTTTCTTATTTTTTCAATTGGTGTTTGAAAATGCTTCTTTCTGTTTTATTTTCGATTTTTTTCAAATAAAAAACTATTAATGATATACACTCGCTTCACATATAGCAGAAAATGTCGTTCTTGCTGCTCCTTTTCTTGCTTTTATTCTCTTTACTTGTTCTAGACTTCTCTTACAAATAAATAAAGAAAATACCAGAAAAGTTTGTTTTGAACGCCTCTATTGCTTGAATTTTCACGTCATAAATGTTAGTCTCTGTTCAAGAAATATCTGCATTTGGTTGACTGCGAAAGAAAAAGTAAATTTTTCGCATTGTTTCTTTTACTCGAAATAAGCAATTTTTTGAACTTAAGGCAACACCGCTGCATAGCGCATTGGAAAATGGAAAAGTTGAAGCTGTCAACTTTTTGATTTAAAATAAAGCCAATGTTAGAGCAAACGACAAGTGGAATGTTAAAGTTTATTTGATAACGTGTTAATTTTGAAGCTTATGATTTTGCTTTCTTTTACTCATAGTTAAACAAAAAACTTTAATTTTTCAATTGGCTGTTAGAAAAGTTAGTTCTTTTTTGTTTTTAATGTGCACTGTCACTTTTTATTGCTGTTTTCATTTTCTTTTCTTTGTAAAGTAAACAGTTTTTCAAATTTTAGAAATAAAATGCATTCTGTCTTCACTTTTATTCTCCTAAAACAGTTTATTTTAGTGGACACCACTGCATAAAGCATCGTTAAGTGGTTGTTTTGAAGCCGTTGATGTTCTGGTCCAAAGTGGAGCCGACATAAATGCGAAGACGAAGGATAATGGAAGGTTTCTTAAGGTTCTTTACAGTGTTCAAGAAGTTGTAGAAACTTCACTTTTTTACTTTTTTTTCTTCTACTTGTTATCAACAACGTTTTTCTTTTTCTAATCTTTTTTACTTTGTTAATAGTTAGTTTCTTTTCTTTATTTCTTAATCCTTTTTAAAAAAACTGTTTTTGAGCGATAAGCTAGCAAAGTCTTAAATGTAGAAAGTAAACCTTTAGACGTTTGAAAGAAGAAATGAAATGGTCCAAAATCTGAGCTGAAGACTATAGCGCTAAATAAACGGTAAAAGAAAATTGATCAAAAAATAGGACGAGTTGTAAATTTAAACAGTATAGATGCCTCAAAATGCGCTGAAAATGAAAAAATACTTTTACATTTATTTACCGCTTCTGAACTTCAGAACGTTATTGTCAGTAGGATTCCCAAATTGTAAACACGTGCAACCGCAGAAAATTCTGTTTTCTCTTTGCTCGTATTGAGATGCACTTAAGTTTTGTCAGTTGCTTTTCTTTTTGCAACTTTGGATAAACTCAACCGTTTTGACATTCATTTAGGAGACTCCTCTTGATGTCGTTTGATCTAACAAATACTGTTTATATACCGGCGAATACCTAGGCATGGTTAGATTTCTGCAGATTTTGAAGTGAAAACGACGACAATTCTCATTATTAGTTTTGCATGCTTACTGAAATATGTGATCATGCTCTTAGTAAAGCACGTTTTTGAAACATTGTACAACTTAATAAGTTCTTTTTCTTGTACAGTTTCATTGCTTGCTTCAGTTGAAAGTGCGTTTTTTTTTTTTGTTAGATTGTCATTATCATTATCATTGCACCGTTTAAAAAACTGATAACGAACTTACAAAGTGAACATTTTTTGGCACGAACAGTTTTTGAAATCTATTAGACCATACCAAAAATGGACGCATCATAAGCAGATCGTAGAGTCAACGTTTTTTTGAGTCTTATTTGCTGATGCTGGTGCTGTTATAATTTTTTTGTCAAACCCGAATTAAACAGAGCAAAAATAGTGCTTCTAAACGCAGTAAATTAAGTTATTTTGTGCTTGCAGTTTGGCTATTTTTTAACATTAACATTTGCTCAAGCACTGTGATCTCGCTGTTTTGATCGTCAATTTGACCTCTGATAACAACTTTATAAGAAAGTGCTATAATAAAGCGATAAGAGCCTAAACTGACTTTAAACTTGCACTGTTAGCAGTTGAACACAAACAGTTGTTTTGGACAAACAGTTTTTGGGTTTCAACAACAGAACACCTTATTTCGTACATTTACTGCTTATGTGCATCATAAAAACTTGTTTCGCATCTATCAGAATTTTGCTCAAGGCAGGTTATTTAATAAAATATTTTAATAACCATACCCTTTTACACTTTGGAAAAAACTTTGGCACAAAGCACGACAGTTAAACTGATCTGTAGAATTTTGTATCAGAAGTATATTAATTAAAACTTCTGCGCTTTTGTACTTTTAGACAAACTTTTAAGGAATGCAAAATTTCCTCTTTCTAACATTAGTTTTTATGAATGACTAGATTTACAGATCTACTTACAATTCAAAAAAAAATTTTTCAAAAGTTTTGATGGCTTAAAGTGTGTAATTTTCTTTTAACCCAGAAGATACACTTTCATAGGCTTTTTCTATTTCAGCTTGTCGGTACGGCCTCGCCAAAATGAAACGTTTGTCTATTCCAAAAACTCCAACTCTTCAAAACTGAGGCTTTATACAGATTTGATTGCAGACTGGTTTCTGTTTATCCAGGACGATCATTCTGAAAAGATCGCGTAGTCGTTAACATGCTTTAGGAATGGGCAGTTGAATTAAGGTAGTTTAACTAAGGGCCACTGACTAGTTCTTAAATAATATGTTGTTATTTTAAACTAGTTGTTGTTTCTGTGCAAACTTACTACAGCTCCACAAGTCACTTTATTTGATGGAAGAGGTAATGAGCGACCTGACAACTTTTATCTGATTAGTGATCACAAATCAATTATTTAAATTACATTTTTTTGCACTTTTTGAAACTCTTTCGCCCATCTCTGATATTCATCTTCTATGCTCATTAGATATTTCTGCGAAAGAAATACTTAATTGGTTTACTCGATCACCTATCAAGGTTTAACATTTCAAGCTAAATGTCTTTTTTTCTATTGCTTTTTTTCCTGCACATGCATGCAAGAGTTTCTTGTATTATTTTTTGCATCGTGCTCTACAACATCTCAAGCTCTTCCCTTGTCGCTCCTAAAAATAGAAATTGGCGCAAAAAAGAGACGTGACTTAAGATATCAATTCATAGCCCCCTAATCAAATTAATACGGTAGTTTGTTCTCGAACCTTCTTGTTGTAAGTAAAAATGAGTGTTTCAAGGCGGAAATTCTGAATATGTAAATAGGTTTTTGCTAGTAGAAAGAAAAAAGAACAGAAAAAAGCAAAAAAAGATACGTAATTCAAAAAATGATTTGTGACTATTAATCAAGCTAACGTACTCAAATAGATTGTTCTTAGAGCTTTCTAATCAGTATAAGCCAGTTCCGGAATAAGTGCCGTTAACGCACAGAAGAAAACACGGATCAGCTTAGAAAGGACAACAAGTAACTCCAAAACTCATTGGTGACTCTTAGTTCGGCAATACTAGTATCAAATGCTCATTTACAAAACATTCTGACGACTACGCGGTTTTTTCGTCATGGAGACATTGTATAAGTAATAACTGTTCCGCAATCAAACACTCATAAAGTTTCGTTTTTGAAGAGTTGAAACTGTTCCAGACAAAAAAGCATTTTATTTAGCGGAGTGTTTAGCGATAAAGTGGGAAAGACCTACAGCTTACAGTGTTATCGGCAATTCTAGTTTTGCAGAAAGATGCAATGCAGCTAGATGATAGTTTTTTCTATGTCATTGAGACAGCTAGACAAAAATAGTAGTAATCCACTCAAAACAAGTTTTTTTTCAGTATTTATTTGAAACTTCTGAGAGTGAATTTCTGAAACTTCTGAGAGTGAATTTCTGCATTTATAACTCATTTAAGCAATCAGTTTTTTTTGTAAAAAAAGAGGACTGCACAGTTATTTACTATTTGACACACTCAATAATCATTAGTGTTTGTAAGTCTTACTCCAGTATTTAATTCTTAAGTACTAAAACACCTTTTTTGAATTTCTAATCGAATCACGTGTTTTTTCAGATGTTTTAAACTAGCTGTGATTGAAAAAAAGTTAAATGCGTTGCATTGACGAATTTTTTGGAGCATTCTAAATATAAAAGTTGCTGCACTGACAAGATAAGTAGTGCACTATACACTTTGCCAGAATATTGCTTCTTTGACATTGAGTGCCGAGAAACCTGTAAAAAGCCATTGTCTGCAAAAGGACGATTTTGGCTGATGAAAAGAAAGTAACAGTAGGGCAGAAAAAGCTAAAGTGGCTCCCTTCTTATCACTAACAAACATAGATAATTTTGCTGTAAATGAATCATAAGTATAAAAATCTAAAGCGTAGAAAAAAATCAGAATTTTGAGATACTTTTTTGACAACATTTTTTTGCTATTTGACACTTTTTAAAGAACATTTAGTAGCAAAATTTTGTTTTTTGTTAACTTGCTTTTACACAAGGCATATTTTTTAATTCCTACACTTATTTGGTCGCTTGCACAAAGACCTTCCAAGTATCTTAGCTGTTGTCTTCAAAGGTATAATTTACTTCGTTAAACCACAAATTTTTTCTTTTGAACATTTTAATAAATTTTCTGCAGTCCTAAAAACAGATGCTTTTTTCTGCAGTTATGAAACATGAGTCATGTAAAAAAAAAATTTTTTTTGTTAATATTTTTTATCTGCTTGATTGGGTTTTCCGAACCCCACTTTTCAGGTTTCAACAAGCGAAGAAAAAATTCTTTACATCTTCTCTTTAAAAATTAGTTTTTAATTGTAAAGAGCTATAGCTGTTGCTTGTCTAATTTACTATACTAGATGCACGTTGTTTGCTTAAAAGATAGTGTGACTAGAAACACTGTGTTTTGGCTGTAAGACCTAATAGAGATTATAAAAGAAGTTTAATTTTAAAACTAACAAAAGGTCTCAGAAGCTAGTAAAAAGATAAAACAACTTTGAGTTTGGTTAAACCTGCAAGCTGGGCTTTGAAATTATGTAACCAAAAAGAATATGTGCAGCTGAAAGTGAAATGTAATTAATATTTGCAGATGGCAAAATTCAACGTTGATCGGGTATTTCGCTACCTGATGGAAGGAAACATAAACGCAGCGCACAGTACGCTAGCAGAAGTTGAAGACTTATCTTCAGATGAAAAACAAGAAGCTTTGGTTAGTGTGTACAATATATAACGTTTAGTGAAATTTAAAGGCTAACAACAGTTGGAAAAAAATGATCACTTCAATAAGGTTACTGTAATTCAGTGGGCATGCAAAGAAGATTGAAAAAAAAGAGGAGTATTACGCTAAGAATCTTTACAAATTTTCTTCTCAAATATTAAAAACTTAGAATTTTTAGAGTTCGTTCACCATAATTTAAAAAGAAAACCAAAGTAATTTTTTAAAATAAAGTGGAAAAAATAAGACGTGCTCTTCTCCTTAAAAGTCACTTTCAACGGGAAATGGCTAGAAAGAAATTCTAGTTCAATACAATTCCAACTAACTTTACACAGAACGACGTAGTAAAATTCTTGTGTTTTTTAATCTGCGCACGATGCCTGGTTTAGGATCTTGCCCTGATCCGAGCATCTAAGTTTGGTGATGCCGAAATTGTAAAAGCAATGATTGGAAGCGGGGCAAACGTTAAAGCAGAAGACTTCGATAAGGTAAGTTTGTGGTAAAACCGTCAGTGAATTTGTAGCCTAAAGTTACAAATTAGTATTTTTAAGCAGTGTCCTGCTCAATTCTTTCTCATTTACCGCTTAGTAATTATATTCTTCTTTCAGTCAAACTGCAGCATTACTTTTTTTGTTATTATTTGTCTCCCTTACAAAAATTGCCAAATTTCAACAAACACTTTATTTCCAGCCGGTCTTCAAAAAGTGTATTTTTATCCTCTAGTCTCTAAATAAGAAAGATAACGTTTTTGCTTTTTTCATTTCGAGAAATGAAAAAAAATAATTACAAGATTTATTTGATTAATTTCTGCAACCAAATTAATAAAAATACAAAAAATAACGCAAACAATTGTCTCAAGATATAATTTAATATACAAAAGAAGAAACAGAAGATTTTTAAAAAATTATTTCAATAAATAATAAATAAATAAATAAATAAATAAATAAATAAATA